CAAAGTTTGGGGCAAAGTCTTTGCACATTTTCATGCAGTCCCTGCAAAACATCACAGTAGTATGCAGAATTGACTGTTTTGCCTGCCAGGATTAATTCTTTCGTGAACAATCCCGTTGATGTCAATGAAAATGATGAGCATTCTCTTGACTTTGCTCTTCACCTGTCTTGCCTTTTTCGGTCTCAGTGAGTTTGGACTTTTCCATTGGAAGAACTGCTGCTTTCTCTCAGGGTCATAACCATAAATCCTGCTCTCTTCATCAATGATAACCCTGGACAGGAAGATTGCATTGTCAGAGGAGATGTGACATACTGCTGCTTGTGATCAGCTGTCAGAATCCTGGGCACAAATTTGGCAGTGACATGATGCATGCTCATTCATCAGTCAGAATCCATTGGCATGTCCAAAAACCATTTTCCATCTCATCAGCAAGGTCTTGAATGGTTCGCCGTCGATCCTCATGAATGTGCTGTTGAAGTTTGGCAACAGTGTCGCATGTTGTGCAGCTGATGTGCCTAAATGCATGTTTGTCATCCTCAATGGATGTCCGACGGGCATGGAACCGAACATGCCATTCAAACGCCTGCGTACGTCTCATGCTTTCTCCCACAAACGCTTGTCTAATCACTGCCATGGTCTCAACTGCACTTCTTCCAAGAGTTGCACAATATTTTATGCTCACTCATTGTTCCTTTGTCAGGTCCATTGTGAAATCACATCAGGCAAGATACAAGACTTCAAATAAAAGGATGTAAAAATCAGCAAGTCCACTGACTCCAAAGATATCCCAGTACCACGATCTACCATTACATTGTGCTACTAGAACTACTGTATAGATGGCACCAGCACCTAATACATACAACTCGTAAATACTAGTAACTATAACAACCTTACTAGATGACACTCTCTACAGATCACTTAACTGCAGCAAATATAAAGCCTTCTATATCTTCACTAGTCATTTACTGGTAACAGATCTTCACAATGTCCTCTGCTAGCATCCTGAACCACCTGGTGAATATCCCACAACTCACTCATTGCTCCAATTGTCCTGATTACAGCATCTTGGCACAGAGAACACCGTTCCTGTGCTGCTGTTCAACTGCTGCTTATTAAGAATATGCTGCCTAGTAATGAGCGTTGTTTTGTTGCTTGTTCCATGATCATTAACTAGCAATGGGTCTCTACATGATACAATAGTATCTATTTCTAAGTCCAGTATAATGAGAGTTTATAACACTGCAAGAAGATCATGCTAAAACAGATACCTACTATGCAGTTCAGAATCTAGAAATGTACAAATTATTCCAAAAACCAAACAATGTACAATACAATACACAATATATTTGTGGTTATATCACTCTAACTGGTAAAAATGCAAGAGTTTATTACTTTCTGTAATATATGTAAACAATATACGAATCATATTGATAAATTTGTACACAAAATGTTGTGAGTTTAAAAATGGTGAACGTCCTTATTTCGAAATCCATCAACATAACTATGGGGGATCATAATCATCTATACGGTATTAGGCACTGAAAAAAGTAGTGGTATGGTGGTCTAACATTGAACTGACTTTATTAACAAGTGGACTTCCATGGTATTTCTTCTGCATGTTGTTTCTCCACTGAATGCAGAGCCTACCAAGCATGTCAACAAGCCTGCAAGTGCCCAGAGACACCATTACTGCAGATCTGCTACTACTACAACGACAAATAACACAACATGCATAACATAATGTGCTGATCCTTTGCAAATAAGAATAATTACAGACTGACAGACAAGACCTAACAACTGGTGAACCCATGCAAGTCCCTATTCACATGAAAACTTTATGCAGGACATAAAACAAGCATTAAAAGAGTATTTTTCTTTCACAGAGCTAGTGAGCACATTCCACAACAAATCTGTTCAATAGTACAGTGAATCTACTGACTATACAACACCTTTTTTTTATCATCACTACATGTTTCGACCTCAAGAGGTCATCCTCAGGTGTATGAACATGGCTGTATAGTTACACACGGTCACATTCACTTTTCACAGCCGTGTTCATACACCTGAGGATGCCCTCTCGAGGTCGAAACATGCAGTGATAATAACAAACATGTTGTGTAGTCGGTGAATTCACTCTACTACTAATTAAACACACAATAGGATGCAAGAAACGATTAAAACTCTGTTCAAACTAGACAATTTAGCTACTTCTGGTTCCACACAGTTTTGTTCATGTCGGCTATAGCTGTCTATCCCATGACTATGTATTCACTGAAATTCATTCTGTTCAAACTCTTGAGGCATGTCACATGAAAAAACTCATGTAAATATTGATTAAAGAGAAACTGAGTGGAAGCAGTAGCACAGTGTCAGGTAACTCTCAATATTCAAAGAGTATGACTCCTATATCTAAAAGTGCAGTAAAAACATTATGAAATTACATACTAAACAACAGCCATTGTTCAATTATGGAGAATCAGCCATCTATATGATTTCTGTTAAATGAACAGAATACAGTTTGTGAATGTATTGGGGAATGAAACCCAGGCCAGCCTGAAGATAGGGTGACTCATCAGGTAAAGCACTTCAATGCAGAAAAGACAAAAATGTTTTGACCGATTTCTTTGTTATTTCCTGAGATATACTAATAGCCATCTTTTTGCAAACGGACAGAGAGGCTGGGGATGAAGGCTCTCATTCTCCCTCTCCTTCAACTTCTCTCTTCATTCATGATCCTGATGAGTCATGGTGCAAGATTACTGTGTTGTCAGCAGTAATCATCTGACCAATGAACAATTGAAATAGCAGATAAGCCACACTATCATATGTACATGGTGCAATCCAAAAGTCCCCAAAATTTGAATTTTGTGCGCCAATGGTAATGAGTATATTGAAATACCGCTAGGTGTCTCCCCACACACCTTTCTTGAATCAGTGTGGCAAGCGGCGTCGAGTTGAGTGGTTGGTGAACGTATTTCCATTGTTGTGTTTCCGTGAGTTTGTGGTTTTGCGATGGCTGACCTGAGAGAGAAGCATGTCTGTATAAAGTTTTGTTTTAAACTTGGGAAAACCACTGCAGAAACGCACCAAATGTTGAAGAAAGTTTTTGGTGAAAACAGTTTAGGCCAGATACAAACTTACAACTGGTATAAGTGTTTCAAAAATGGCCGAACATCGACTGACGACGATGATTGTTCGGGACGGCCGTCAACTGGCACCACACCAGAAAAGTCATGAAAGTTAGGGATCTGATTCTGCAAGATCATAGACTGACCATCCATGAACTCAATAACACCTTGGGACTAAGTTATGGTACATGTCAACGTATTTTGTCAGAGGAACTGAACATGACGAGGATCGCGGCGAAGTTTGTGCCACGACTGCTGCAAAAGGAACGGAAGCAGCATCGCTTGGAAGTCTGCAGGGAACTTCAACAACAGCTTCAAGAGGATCCCAACTTTCTTTCGAAAGTTGTCACTGGTGACAAAAGTTGGGTTTATAACTACGACCCTGAAAGCAGCAATTGTCACAATGGAAGAGCCCTTCTACACCTCAACCAAAAAATGCTCGACAAGTCAAAAGCAACATTAAGTCCATGTTGATCTGTTTTTTTTTTTTATACTGACAGGATTGCACATAAAGAGTTTGTCCCTCCTGCTCAGACAGTGAATAAAGAGTTCTATCGCGATGTTCTAAGGTGTTTGAGGGAGGAAATGAGGAGAAAATGTCCAGAGAAATGGTGCACAAACGACTGGGTACACCACCATGATAACACATGACCACATATGGCTTACATTATGCAGGAATTTTTGGCTAAAAACAAGATGGCAGTTGTTCCCCACCCACCGTACTGGCCAGACTTAGCTCCCTGCAACATCATTCTCTTCCCCAAGATGAAAATCAAGTTGAAGGGGTGAAGATTTGATACAGTTGAGGAAATTCAAGCGGAAATGCAGACGGTACTAAACACCCTAAGAAAGAAATACTTCCAGGATGCATTTCAAACGTGGCAGAAACGCTGGGATTGGGGTATGCGCTCCCAAGGGGACTTCTTTGAAGGTGATGGTGCAGAATAAAATCCAAGTAAGACATAATAGTTTTTATTAATATATTTCAGGAACTTTTGGATTGAACCACATATGACCACACAGATCCCCAAATGAGATAAAAGCACTTGTTAGAGAATAATGTCACTTGTAATGTGGTACACATGACAAAATGGCGGGTTCTAGTTCAGATGATTGGATTTATTAACACTTTGGTTACACACATGCCACAATAAATTATGAAAAATCATTAAGAACTGGGAAATGCTGCTATGCATAACACGACTATGTGAAAATGATGGTACATAAGGAAATGCTTATTAGAATGGGACTTCAGAATACAGGCTGTACTCACTGCACTGGATTTCTACTGTGGCAGCAAATTTGAAGTGTGAACTACACTTATTTTTCAATGAAACCTATGAGACACAGCATGACAAAAAAGTAGTAGTTTCAATATAAAGAAAGGAGTAAGCTGTGCTTATTTTTTAAATGTTACAAAAACTTAATGTGGTCCATTTAAAATACAAGTTTCTCATATTTCAGGATGCAGTTTTCTGGGATGATCCCACGCAGCCTGTGATATGCTTAACAACATTTATAAGAAACTTAATTCCTCCATCTTCAGGAAAAAAGATGGGAAAAACAGCTCTCTCTGAAACAATGGTAACCATCTACTTGGTGTCAAATCCAAAAAGGCAACTGTCTAATAAAAACTACATTATCCTTCATTCCCAGTAATTACTCCGAGCAGCAATATACAATAGCAAGTATGAAAGTATAAATATGAGACTGCTTCTGATTAGGCTGTTACACCATTCTCACACCTAATTAATCAGGAAACATGAAATGAATATAACCTACACACTACCTACATAAGCATGCAAAATTATATCCCCTATAGAAATTAAGAAAGGTATTTCACAAATTACACAAATATCTCAACATACTTACATATGATCAGCAGATGTTTGAACAAGAGACTGGATCAACTGAGGAACCAAGGCATCATCCCGAACACTCAGAAGAATTTGAGCCTCCTCTGCAACTCGGGGATGGAAGAGCAGAGACTTGTTACTCAATGTTTGTGGCAATGGTGAAGGAAGTGGCATCTCTGGCAACACTGAAACATGTCATTTTGCTAATCCGGGAACCACATAAATTACCATAATCCATGCAGAAGGGTTGTGAAGATTTCTATATTCTGGGACATAACGCTGTGTAATCCACTGAAAGTCATCTGATGTCCATGTTGCCACCATCTTCCGGATCAAAGGATAAGCCAAGCAAGAAAACAGCATGAAGCAGGTAGTAAGCAGAGCTGCTTGCTATCTGCTTCATGCTGGCTCTCACTTGTGTAGCCCACTGAAAGTCAACTGATGTTTTGGAGGAACACCATGCTTCCATCTTCAGGCTACTTTCAATCGACTAAATTACAACCCCGAAGACAGGTCTTTTCACATACCAACACAGTCCACACTAAAATAATATTAACCCTTCAGCGTGGTTTGCCGTACATGGTACGCTGGTATTTAAATGGTCCTACCTGTGGTTTGCCATACACCGTACGCCAATCTGTAAGCTTAATTTCAAAGGCCCATAAATATGGAACGAACCATACCAGCATGACGACGATTGCACTGGGCTGTTGTAAAAAGAATGTGCTCTCGCTTCGTGTAAACATAACATTCAATTTCCTGTAGCTCTGCCAGTCAGTCTAAACAGAACGCTGACCTCACAGTTACGATGGCGTTGTGAATATGATATCAACATACCACAAAGATGGATGATATGCGTGTGGTTGTGAATAAAGCAAACAAACAAGAAACAAAGCCCTAGGTTGTTTGTGATTACAAGAGAAACATGCTAGGAGTGGATCTGACGGATCGAATGCTACAGCCGTACTTGAATGAACGAAAGAAGAGTACTAAGTGGTATCAGAAGTTATTCAAGAAGCTACTCAATGTAGCAATACATAACGCAATGGTCATATATCAGTGTCTTCTGAATAACAAAAACATGGGCACGCTGAAGTTCAGACTTTCACTAGCACAAGGCCTCGTGGAAATTCACAGTTCTGGTTTTCCTCATCCTGTATACAGCCATCCATCAGTTGCGCCACCGCCTAAAAGACTCACAGAATTACATTTCCTGGAGCGCATTCCAGCCAAAGGAAAAAAGCAAAGCCTCAAAAAAGATGTATCGTGTGCGCAAAACATGGTAAAAGGAAAGAATTTATTTTTGGTGTAGTGAATGTGAGGCAGGGTTGTGTTTAGATGGATGTTTCAAGAAATACCATATGAAACTCAAATTCTAATCCACTTGCTTCCATCATTCAGATATAGGGCACTCATATTATAAGGTAAGATTATAGAACCACCTTTTATGATGATTTCAGTGAAAAATTCATAATTATACCTCATATAGTTCAAAAATTATGATGCATAATATAATTTAGAGCATAATTTAAATGGGTAAATAAAAAAATACTACCGCAGGAGGCCTGCGCTGAAGGGTTAACATACCAGATTATGTTTTTGCTAGGGACCAGATTTTTATGCCTTAATAATCGCTTAAATATGTATGCATCTATACATGAAGGACTTCCAAAATATGCACTAAAATATGGACATAAAAATTTATACCAAATATTAAAATTGATATTACATTATTTTAAGACCAACAAATCAATATTTAAGTTCATTTTATGTTAGCGTCCATTGTTTATCTTCCATCAATATTGCAACACTTTTACATTCTACGTGAACGTGAGGGGCAAGCTGCCAAGAAAAACACCTTCATACATTTACAAAAATGACAACACCCCAGGTGAAGTGAAATAATATGCAACAGAAATTTTAAAGGATTTTATCTCATTTTACTTAAAAAGAAGACTACAGCATGTGATTTTAACACGAATTAAAACAGTGTAGCAGTTTTGAACACAGTTTTAGTAAAATATCTGTAACATAAAGACACCTGAAGATGGCCATTTGGGGTCAAAACATGTAGTATTGAAGTGTAGAATGCAGAAGTGTTGCAATTTTGACGGAAGATAAAAAATGGACACAAATTTGAAGAATTGAAACGTGACGCTGAAATACAGATTCATTTTATGTAATCACTGAATGATTCACTTGCAATAAAAAGCTATACTTAAATACAAATCATGCAACAAAGCCAACATATTTCATTACAAATTTAAAAAACCAGTGGTACTCACATTTAGCTTTCCGAACTTTCAACTTCTCTTCTGCTGCAGTTCAGAATTAATAAATGTTTTAGGTTTTCCATAGTGAGTCACCTCCTACTGTCCCGTAAGATATCCTTATAGTGGGAAAATCTTCTTTAAACCTCACAGGAACTTAGGGGTGCATGTACAAATTCCGCTATTTGCTCCACTGTTAGTGATTTTTTACTTGGCACTTCAGTACGTTTACCGGCTAAAATTTCTTCAATTTCACAAATCTGTTCATATCCTGGACTTTTCGAAAGAATGCTGTGTACTTTTTCCTTTACTATTTCACCAACTCTTCCAGGAACCGAATTCAATTTGGAAACAGTGGTTTTGAACACACTTTACAACTGATACAATGGAGTATTGCTATTGCTTGCCTCCAGTGAGGAAAGGGCGTATGGAAGACGAGAGAAGTGAGCAGATATATAGGAAAGATTAGTTTCCAGTTCTGCATTTTTTAGTACATATCGGGCAATTTGAATTGATGCTAACTTTTGGGATCAAATGTATTCACGACATTCCTGTTTCTAAATGTTTGGTATAATAAATCGCTGCACACAGCCATGTGCCCCAGCGCATTAAAATTGGTTCCGGTGTAAGTGGAACACTCGGTGCTATTGCTTAAAAGACTTCTTTTCTGTATGGCGCTTTAACAAATACCTTCTTCACAGAAGACACCAACTTGTCAACAAGCGGAATATTTGCACGAATTGTTTCTGCAACACAGTGCAACCCATGGGCAAGGCAAGTCAAATGTGTCATATTTGGAAATATAACTTTAAGAACAGTACCGGCTTGCATCATATAACTTGCGGCATCAGTCACAAAGAGCAATACGCGCTCATACTGAATGCCATTCGGCCATAGTAAATTCATGGAATTGATAAAAAATTCGGAAACTGCGGAGCTATTTGTGGTTTCAAATTGCTCTACCGCAAGAAGATATGGGGTAGATTGTTCATTCTTATTAAGGGATCCAACTATACAATTTGCAATAAACCGTCCCTCACAATCTTGTGTTTCGTCGATTGATACCCACACAAAATTATCTTGAATCTTATCTCTAATGCTTTCAATTGTAAGATCGTAACACTACTTCACGTAATTTTTGCGCACAGTAGATTCGTCAGGCACTTTGCACTGTGTATACTTCTCTATGAAGTTTCTCAGAGTAGGGTTGGTTAGTTTCCACAGCGGAATATCTGCCGCTAAAAAGGCTTCGCATAAATCAAAGGAAAAGCGTGAAAAACTATTATAAGAAAACTGACTAAGCAATCTTTGAACAGGAGCTATTTTTGTGGATTTAATTTTAATATTCTCTTTGTGTACATTAGTGTTCAAATGCTGAAGCACTTGAAAGTGTTTTTCATAACCGTTTTCTCACACGCTCAGCAATAAAGGATTTTGTTATCCGTAGTTATCATCTCTCCTTCGAACTCCCGCTGATACAGCTGTAATTTAGTTTTCTCACTTACTTTCAATTTCAGGATGACTACAGAAAGCTAAACAAACTTAACTACAGACTAGTCACCACTAATGTGAATGGGCCCCAGCTTCAAACGAAGAAGCTTAACGAACCTCATGGAGACTTCAGAAATAACTAAGGGAAGTCCCTTATCGGTTGAATAGTATTATGTTGACAGCGGCTACATGTGAACGCTTCCGACTAATCTCTTCGCGGCCACTTTGATGGTACGTGGATGAGGCAAGTTACGAGTAGAGGGATCGGGGAAGTCCTGTCCTGGGTATTGCATCAGAAATTTGAATCGTGACGAAATGTTCAGTCAAATATGCAACATATTCTAATACAGAAAAGAAAAATTGTATACACATGACCATGATTGAAAATTTCAACATAAAATTAAAAAATATATATGATAAGCATTTTAAAAAGGAAATAGGCCGTATAAATAGAGATCTTCAAAAATATGATGCTTATTCATAAATCAGGCAAAATATGCATTTACATGCACCATCAAACCATGTCCAAAATTTAAGAAATGAAGTAATGCAAACATATATCCAAACGAGCATACTTTCTGGTTGCAAGAAAGAAATATGCATTTGCATTAAAATCTGGTCCCCAGTTATTGCCTTTTCCTAAGGATAAAGGTATAGAGAGAAAACAAATCAAGGTACAGGGGTTTACATTAAAGAAAAATATTTGTTTTACTTTAAACGGACTGAAGATAAAG